ATGTGGTAAGCCTCGAAAAATTTTCTCAAAGACATAGCAGATTCAACTAACGGCTAAAGTGATAAAGTCCAAGCGACACAACCTAAAGAGATTTTCATGAACAATAAAGTGATTCTATGTCAAAAAATCTTCAAACACGTTTTGAGCCTTTATATCTCTCTTTCATAAACCCAATACCATAGCTCGCATTATGTGCTTTTACAAGTCCTTTCGATCAAAAACAGTTTGCCTAGGTTGTTGGATTCTAATCTTAAAAAAAAAAAAACACAAAATGATGATTGAGAAAAAGAAAATATGATCGGTTAGTATGCTCGTTTTATGACACGAGTCTTCATCAACAAACCTTAGGGGCAAAATAAACAGAATCAAGATATTTTAAGGTAAAATTATCCTTCAAAATCACTTATTTTTCCAAATACTTTCCGCTCAAAACTTTTTTATCTACCCGAAATGAACTTATCTTGGACTAATTACCTTCAAATGTCTCAAATGTCAACTTTTATGCAAACTTTACATAACCCAAACACTTTTTTTTTGTTTGCTTAACCCAACTTTCTTGAAGAAATTGCATTATAGCATTTGAATGTCGTGATTTGACTTTTGATTAATAAATTTAAATATCTTTATGAATGAAAGTACTTTCATCGGAACATCTCTACATTTCGTTCAAATAATCCGAATTATTTTAAGAGAATCATTTAAATATACGACTCAATCCACAAGAGCCAAATGTTTATAATCTTTTTCAAAAGATGATAAAATTTTAAGATCAATTTGCAAATTGTGATACAAGTATCAAGAAACAAGCATTCGAACACAAACGGTGATTATGTCAAGAAAATGATAAGTGTCCGATCTCAACCAACACTGGGGGATTTCGTACCTCGAATGAATGGCATTTTATTAAATCGAGAATACTTGAAGGGCAAAACCAAAAGTCTAGAAACTCTAATCGGGTTCAACAACTTGTCGAACAATGGTATCACTATGCTATGCCAACTAAAGGAACAGAGGTCTAAATAGTATGTTTTGTTTGCGCTCAAATCAAAGCAATCAAAGCCATCAAGCTAGGGCAAAGAACGATCTTAAGGGAGGACAATGACTCAGCCAAAGTTTGGCCACAGATCAAAGTAATCGAGTATGGTTTCACGATGGTGGATCATAACATGTGGTGGGTTATCACCTTTAAAATCTAGCAATAACCAATTGGTTGAAGAAAAAAAGAGGGAGAAAAGACTCAAGTTCACTATGAATAGTGGTCCAAGCATTGGGGGTAAGGAAATTTTGACGAGTACCATGAGATACAATCCGGCAGAGATTTTCAAAATGAGGCAAAGGGAGGATTGAGTACCGACAAAGCAGGACGGCCTATGTTTCTCTCGGGTAAGATTGTTGTCAATTTTAACTCAAAAAAAGAAAAAACGACATTCAATCAAGCTCGAAATTCAAAAAAAAAAAGGGTCACATTTCCCCACACATTCTTTCAGGCGGGATCGCCTAATAATAGATCATTCACTTAGGTAGGGTCACCTCACAATAGACCATTCTTTCGGGAATGATCGCCCAATAATAGATCATTCGCTTAGGTAGGGCCATTTTACAATAGACTTTTTTTCAAGCGAGTCGCCTAATAATAGACCATTCATACGAGTAGGGTCGCCTATCAATTGACCATTCTTATAGACAGGATCACCTAATAATAGATCATTCACTTAGGTAGGGTCACCTTATAATAAACCATTCTTTTAGGCGAGGTCGCCTAATAATAGACCATTCATACAGGTAGGGTCGTCTCTCAATTGACCATTCTTTCAAGCAAGATTGCCTAATAATAGACCATTCACTTAGGTAGGGGTCACCTCATAATAGACCATTCTTTCGAGCAGTGGTCGCCTAATAATAGTACTATTCATACGAGTAGGGTCGCCTCTTAATCGACTATTCTTTCGAGCGGGATCGCCTAATAATAGATCATTCACTTAGGTAGGGTCACCTCACAATAGACCATTCTTTCAGGGTGGGCCGCCTAATAATAGACCATTCATACGAGTAGGATCGCCTCTCAATTGACCATTCTTTCGAGCGAGATCGTCCAATAATAGATCATTCACTTAGGTAAGGTCATCTCACAATAGACCATCCTTTCGAGCAAGATCGCCCAATAATAGATCATTCATTTAGGTAGGGTCACCTCACAATAGACCATTCTTTCGGGCATGGTCGCCTAATAATAGTACCATTCATACGAGTAGGGTCGCCTCTCAATCGACCATTCTTTCAGCAGAATCGCCTAATAATAGATCATTCACTTAGGTAGGGTCACCTCACAATATACCATCGCATATTCAATTTCGAGGGTAGGTTGCCCTTTACAATAAGACCACGCATGACACGTTTAATTTTTCAAGGTAGTCGCCCTTTACAATAAGGTCACGTATCGCACGTTTAATTTCATGGTAGTCGTCCTTTACAATAAGGTCACACATCGCACGTTTAATTTCTAAGGTAGGTTGCCCTTTTACAATAAGGTCACGCATGATACGTTTAATTTTTCAAGGTAGTCGCCCTTTACAATAAGGCCACGCATTGCACCTTTAATTTCGGGGTAGGCTATCCTTTATAATAAGGCCACGCATTGCATGTTTAATTTCAAGGGTATGCTCGCCTTTTACAATAAGGCCACGCATTGCACGTTTAATTTTAGGGTAGATCGCCACTTTACAATAAGGTCACGCATTGCATGTTTAATTTCTAGTGGTAGGTCGTCCTTTACAACAAGGCCATGTACTACATCTTTTATTGTTCATGTACTTTGTACTAATTTTTCATAAACTGCACATTTATTTTTTCGAAAAAAAGAGAAGAATTTCTTTACAAGCTCACTAAACAAATCTATTCCGATATTCACACTTCGACTAAGATTTACATCGTAAGCATTGTAAAGAGAGGCAATCGTCATAACCCAATTTTGGGTTCTTTTAAAGGAAAAAAACAAAAATAAAAACAAAAAAACAAAAAACAAAAAAAATATAAAAAAATATTAAACCTTCGTAAAATCATTCAAAAATCCGTTAAAATCTTTCACAAATCTTTTTAAATTGGAATATCCTTATTTTTAGCTAGAAAAATCTCAAAATTAAGATTTGTCAATTAAAATTTGAATTTGAATTGATTTTGAGAGAAATTTTAGAACGTTTCGGCCTATAAAAAGCTTTCGAATTCCAATTTACCGGAGGGGGAAAAAGCGACCAAAAAAAAACACAAAGAAAAAAATACCGAAAACCTAATTAGAAATAACCAAACACGCCCTAACCCATCAAACCGGACTCGATTACTCGTTTACCCAGTCGAAACTTTTGAGCCTCAATTGATCGTTTTTCGATCGATTTTAACACCGATTAACACACTCACGTGTAGCCCATCACTAGATCTACCAATCCATACCGATTAGAGAGAAAAACACTCACGAGAGGAGAGAGAAATTAAAGATTAAACCTCCACGACTCGGCCCCAAAACAATACCCGATCGTTTCTCTCAACTCCGATCACCAACACAAGATCCACCACCACACGGACTCGATCGTCCATCTCCTCCGAGTGCTTCTATTCAAAAATCTCGACCCAACGACACCGGAAAATGATTTAATTAAACTCGACCCGTTTTGATAAACCCAAAAAAACTTACCGATCTAGAAGGCGTCGAAGGTTCTAACCACCACGGACATCTCTCTCTCGACCTCCCGAGTCGACCGATGGGCTTAGAATCTAAAGAAGAGGTCGGATTCATCACCATCGAAGAAAGGAGATCCGATCGAGCCTTCGGAGGCTCCAATCTCCCTCCTCCGGCGTCTTCTCCGGTTGAAACCACCACCATTGGAGTCACCATGACCGGATCTACAAGGCTAGGTGGTCCACGTGCTCGAACAGATCACCGAAAGGTGAATGATCACCTAGCAGATGACTCTTGACATTCCGGGGGCATTTTGGTAATTTTACAATATAGATGAATTTTGGACTGCTTGATTTATTTTATGTGTTTTGTAGTTTTTTTTTTATTTTACATATATATGTTAAAAAATTTGAAGATACATAATTGTGAAATTTATTTTAACATGTAATTTTTTTTATGATTAAAATATTATATCAACAAGTCTCCTATTTATTAAGGACGGACGATGATTAAGTATATTTAATTTTTTAAAATTTGTTTCAATTGATTTTAGTTAATTAAAATTTTAAAGTTTTCTTTAAAAAAATAAAAATATTTTTTTTTCGACGAAGTCTCCTATCTAATAGAGACCGACGTCACCAAAAATCTAAAATTCTCGACGAAGTCTCCTATTTGATTAGGATCGATGTCACCAAAAAAAATCATTGTTTAAATCAATATATCCTCCGACACACCGATTGTGTTAATGCTTAAAATAGATCCGTTATTTGAATCAACGTGTTGCCCGACAATCGTTTCAATACGATACCATGCTCAAAACTAAAAAATTCAATTTATCTATAAAAAATGAGAAATTAAAAATCAGAAAATAATTTGACGTCTATAAAATATTTTAGGAAATAAATTTAAAGCTGAACCGAAGTGGTATCTTTTTTCGAAAAGGGCGTTTTTGAGTGATCGATATCTTCTCAAAAGCGTAACCAACTCCTTACCATAGAATCTCCGAATCGATTGTCCGTTTTAAATTCCTAATTCCTTCAATACTAGATGACGACTCCAAACTCTATAAATAAACTTGTAAATATTCAATCTAATTTTAGATATTTTCGAAGAGTCCCATCCGACGTCGGTAGCGACACCAGTTCCTCCGATCAATTTGTTATCAAATGCTTACTTTACAATTTAAAGTGAAAAAAAGAAAAAAGAAAAAAGAAAGGCTATGAACATTAATCGATACTAGGAAAATGAATATCATCCAGAGAAAAGAAGATTAAACAATTATGGCACAGCATCAACAAGTAGTTCCTTTCCCATCACCAGTTTTGAGTACCTGGGAGACCAATCCATAATAGAAGCCTCCGTGGCCGATCAAGGAACCTGGCTTGCCATGCAGGCTCGTCATTTTCATAGATAAAACCACTTTTCATGTATAACTGTTTTGCTGGTTCATTGTTGACAGCAACATGGACATAGAGATCAGTTATCCCTGAAAATAATTCACCAAGCTTACCTAAAGTATTCATAAGCAGAATTTAAACCCACTTGTAGAGAGTCAGAAAAAGGCAAAACAATCTTGATGATATTTAAAGCACAATACTTAAGATTGAAAATATGGGGGTTAGCGTAGTTCCATCTGTATCAGGGTAATGCCTATTCAAGATTATCGATCAGCTACAATATAGAGCAATTCCAAATATCACATTTGGTACTTCAATTCTCAAACACATAACAATCTCATTTTTGGTATTCTTTTCCAGTTTTCCCCTTCTTTTCTTTCTATGTTTAGAGTTTCCATGGTAGCAATGAACACGGAATGCACCTGAAAGACTAATGAAGGTGTGACAGCTCTGAAAATGGCTTTAACAAGTTCTTACCCCATCCTTGAGCAACCCCTTTAGACTTTGCAACAAGATCATAACCCAATCCATTTCTATGAAGTTCCTTGGCAACACATACATTGCTCAAGTATCCCCTTGAAAATTGACCTTCAATACCCTGTCGAAGCAAAGTGGAAAACAACAAAGATATTTCAAAATTCACAACATAATAGAAACTGTGTCAAGCTTATAAATACTGGGGTGCAACAATGTGTAGTAGTTTATTTGAGAGTTGTTCTTGTCCTTTTTAATGTTACTGTTGTTTTGGAAAGCATTTGGGGAAAATCATACATTACAAGAAAACCACACATTAGGACAGTTTTCAATCTCACTGTTCTTTTCTTTAATCGCAAGAGTGGTAACTGTTGAACTTGCCCAACCATCAGAAACCTTACTGAGCAAAGTATTCAAAACCAAAATTTCATTCTGATGAACCAGAGCTACAATTTGTTCAGTCCAGGATTGCCCAAGAAAAGTAATGTCCTTAGGTCTGGGCTCGACACAGCCAGGAAAAGTTCATGCTGGGCATGTCAAAGTTCAAGGAAGTCAGGCCAGGCTGACAAAATGTATAAATGAAATCACAGTACTCCTAAGTGCTATCCATAAAGAGTGTTCATGAAATGGGATTGTGGTATTATACTGCACAATTAGAGCAAAAATAAGAGCAAGATTGGAACACACTTTGAAAGTAACTCTTTCAGCAATTACAACTACATGTTAGCATTCTTGAAAAAAATTGGTGAAAATAAGAAATGACCTTGAAAACAAGCAATTACATGTACATATTACGAAAATTTTATTTTATTTTATTTCATTTTTTATTGGGTTTACAAATTTAGCCCCAAATTTGCCGAATATAGAACTGTTATGTTTTCCATTCATAATGTATATAATCAAAATAAGAACAATAACAATCCACATCAAAAATAAAAATAAAAAAACCTCAGGTTTCTTTCCAGTAATTTCATCAGGAAGACTCGTACATTGATTTACATCAAGTGTCCCCACCACCACTCTATCTTCTCCATTCTCACTAAACTACAAATAATAAATAAACAACATTATTATCTCTTGAAAACTTAACAAAAACTGTAAAAACAAATAAATAAATAAATAATCACTTAAACAAACCTTACATTGCGCGCATAAATCATCATCAGGTAAAGTCAACAACTGTGATAACGGAAGCGTCGCATTTAAACACGAAACTCTATTGAAACCGGTTCTTTTACCAGCAATTCGTTCTTTTAAAGCTTCAAATTCACGCTCTGCTAGGTATCTTTTATGATCCTAAAAAATTTTAATCAGTTTCACATTTTCTTTCAATTTTCTCGGCAACCAAACAGAATATTCAAAAAATAAAAAATAAAACAATTGAAAGAGAAAGTGGAAGACTGACTTGGATGCCAAAAGTGGAAGGCTTAAATTCGTGGAAGGAACGGACACGGAGACACGCCGCGGCCCAGAGCTGGTCCTCCTCCGACGTTTCAGAGATTGTAAGAGATGATTTGTCGATATGGTGTGGGGTGAATACTTGTGTGGCTGTGATTGGGTTGAGGCAAAGTCGACGGGAAGGATAGCAACGATAATTTGGTGAAGATACAGGGAGGGAAGGAGAAGAAGAAAGGAGTGCCATTTCTTTTCTTTGTTTTGGAGAGGGTTATCCTTTGCTTCTCTCTTACCTTTCGTCCTTATTCTTTTTCGTAGCTTTGAGGTCTGTGTCTGAAGTTCTTTTTATTTATTTATTTTTCGTGTCGTTAACCTTTCAAGAGGATGTTTTATTAATTCTTAAAAAAAAAAAAAAAGTTTTATTTTGGAGTCGTATAATTTCAATCTTCCTTGAAGTTTCCGAAGATAATAATTGCAAAATGATAATGATTTTGTTTATTTAGGATGTGTTCTCATGTTTGATTGCATTTTGTAAAATATGTTTATGGAATTTATTTTTTAATTAAAACATTAAACTTTAGTCGATGTAAAGATTCACTTTTAAGATCATTTTAAAGAAAAAATATAATTTTAATTAACATGTACAAATTGGTCTAAGATATTTTTATTTAAAAAAAAAGCTTTTATGGTTTAAACATTAATATATTTATAAAAATATTTTAATACATAATATGACTAAAACAGTAATATATATAATTCATTAGTATATATGATATATAATATATAAAAATTATATTACTTTAATACAATGTTTTACTCTCTATAATGTTGTTAAAAAAAAAAAGATTATAATGCACAACTTGTTATATTATATCATAATCATACATATTAAATCATTCAAATTCTATTATAAGAATAGGATATGGTAAAAAGAAAAATTATCTTCAATATTCATCAAACTCGAAAAACGTTTCGTTTTAAAAGTTATACTATTTATTAAAAAAAAAAGTTAAAAAAGTTAATAACTCGTTATTTTTCAGCTTATCTTTTACAATATAACCAAATATCATAAAATAATCTTCAATTTATTTTTTTATACAACCAAAAATCAAAAAGTAAATCATTTTCTCATAAACAAACAAACAAAGTCTTAAATTAGTTTACATAATCTATTGTTAAAAATCGAGGACAAAAAACCATAATTTTCTACCAATTATTACGTGATTTCAATTGGGTCCGAAGAAAAAAAAATCCCGATTTTATTCCATTCTATCAAAAATTAACTAATTAAGTTCCATAGTTGGAATCCTTTAATTCGGAATGAAACGTCTCTCTTTGACTGAGTTTTATTTATTTATTTTAAGATAGAAGTTGATGCGTACTTATCTCCAGAAAGAATGAAAGAATAGAATTGAGGGAGAAATTGTTTTAGGGTTGGAGAACTTTAAGTTCAGATTGGGCTTATGTATCATTGTGGGCTTGGAGAGACTTGGTAGTTGCCATTGGGCTCAGTCAGTTGTCCAGTTTGTGGGTCGAAGATACTACTTGTCATGGGGTCTTTTGTTATTCGGTTTTGTTATGTTTTTTAGTACTTATCTAGTACGATAAAAGCATCAGAGATGAATGAAGATATGAGAATCCTATAACAAATTATGTCGTTTTCTCTCTTTTCTCTCTCTTCTTCTCTCTTTCTTGTTCTTCAAGAAAACGCTGATTCCATTGCATCAGCTTGTGATTGGATCCATTCCAATCTCATCCTCATCAGAATCACTGTATATGCATATATATGTGAAAAACAATTTTTTCCGTACATAATTAGCACATAATTAGGGATGGCAATGGGGCGGGGCAGGCATCGCCATCCCATCGCCGCCCCATCCCTGAAAAAAAATTTTATCCTTCTTATGTTTTGTTCGGAGTGAAATTTTTCTTTTCATTTTCGTCTCGGACAAGACGGGACGAGGATGGATTAAAAAAAAAATTATTCTCATCCCGTGTCTCGTTTGGGGTAAAATTTTACTCCTCATATCCATCCTAAAAAAGACAGGGTAACATTGAGACGAGTTGGATTGTCATCCCTACTCATAACCATAACTATAACTGATATGGAATTCAAAATCAAATTATAACTAATATAACACAGTTAGTATGAACTAAAATTTGATTTTTTTATAAAGACAAATTCCATGCTAAATGCCTAAAATACCTGCTTTGACAAAGGTGGCGAATAGCCTCCTATTGGCTGGTGCCATTTGCGAGTTTATTATGATCTTGAAGATTTTCTCAAGATACAGTCATTGAACTGTAATTGTGATCAACTCAAAAAGGGCTATTTCTAGCTCAGAGGATGAAACCACCCAACTAGGCCATTCGTGTGCGCAAAAAAGGAAACTCTATTTGTGGTTGGATTACAAGAGTGTCAGATTTCTATTCGTAGGTAATTTCTTGAGACTAATTTGATAATGCATCGATCATTCTAGCGAAAGGTACATAACCACATGTTTAGTATTTGCAGTTTTTTTTTTTTTTCCTTGTGTTGTGATCAGATGAAGAGAAAATTGAAGTTTTAAAACTCGAAGAAAGAAAATAAGAGTAAAAAATCAAGAAACAAAAATGGGTTAAAAAGAAAAAAAAAACACACACACACACACACGGATAACTATCCCACTCTAGTGTAATTAAGTCTAATATAATTTTTCAAGATGCTTGATCTAACTTTGGGGTTAACCCCAAATAGTCTAAATTAGCCTATATAAAAAATAGTTAATTTTTATTTAGATGAAACAAAAACACAAGACTATACCACATAATTAAACATCAAAATTTATACAAAAGTCCATCAATCTACTTTTAAAATATATTAAAAAAAATATTGATCATTCAAACAAGTTGAAAACTGAACTAAAAAAGTCCAAATAACAATCAAAAGTTTATATATATATATATATATAGACTCGGGCTATTATCCTTCTAATTGTTTATATAGGGTGAATAGCTCAATATTTTTATATAATAGCCCTAGTCTCTAATTATTTTATATATTTTTAATTATATACGTTGTATCTATAAATAATATTTAAGTCTTTAATTTATCTTTTGGATTAATTTTTCTAATTATAAATATTTTTTTAATTGAAATATTACAAGTAAAATGCCAAAAAGAAGAAAAAAAAACTTAAAGTGACAGGCCTGTATGTTCTATTTTTAAAAATTTTAGAATTATTCTAAAAAAAAAGCATGTAATCCATTTTCAACGAAAACAAAATTAAATATTTAAAAACCAAATTGAAACTGAATAATCAAAATTAATTTGGTATTGGTTTTTAAGTAATCGAAAAAAATAAATTAATATTTTGGTTTCGATTTGGTTTAATTAATTGGTTTTAGTAGAATACTGATGGTCATCTCTAATGGGACGTTCAATTTATATAGAAATTTAAGGGCAGAAATCTAAAACCTTAGAGGACGAAGCATCCCCCAACGACACATTAGCCTTTTGAAAGAACACAAACTCGTACATGGACTTGGACATAACACTATACTACATTTTACTGTATTCGGTGTCCCTAACCCAGTTGGTTGGTTTTTAGCTAGTTTGACAAGGGTCAAACAAAACCCAACCAACTTTTATCACGATCGAGTACGAGATTCACTAAATCGACCAAGTGAATATTGGTATTATTATTTAAATTTCTTTTGTTGGTATATATAATTTCATATTCGTGGATTTAAATTTTATAATTTTACTTAGTCATTTTATTTTATAATGTTATGATTTAGCAGATGGATATTTATAAACTTTTAGAATATAATTTTATTTTGTGAGGTTCTATAAAAAAAATATTTTATTTATTTTTTTAAAAAAACCCTTTTAATTGAATCGTACGTTTATAAAATCGAGTATCCCATGGATGTACAAGTCCATTTGACTCTATTTGTCCGGGTTAGAAATAAAGACAAGTGATAATTAGTTATTCCGAATAGGAAATGAATTGACAAAATACTATTATTCAAATAGGGTGATCAATTTCAATAATTAAATTGAAATGATCATTCAAAAAAATCAGAATAAAAAATTAATTTTTTTATTGGGAGTTACTAATGATGAGCATCAGAAATGAGAACAATTTCGGCAACCGAGGCTAGGGTAGCTAGCTCCACAGAGAAGGCAATAAAGAATCACTGCAGCTACCTATAGATCCACAGTTCTAAACACCGAAACAGACACTTATCTTTAAAATTTTCTTAGAACCAAAATGGTGCAAAGAGAACAGAGAAGGAGAGCATTGATTTGTAAGATGGAATAAGTAAAGACGCACACATGCATGCCTGCAGTAGGGTGTCAGCCAGAGAGAGAAAGATCAGTAATAATATTCGTATCTTTTGTCTTATAATGTGGGCCCTTTTCTCCTGTGTTCAAAAAAGAAATGGACTTTAAGGAGATAGAGAAGACACTGACAACTCTTGACCATGTGTGGTCATATCACAAAGGTTGTGATGATTATCAAAATTAAAAAGCTCCAGATCCTAACGTACCTCCTACTTTATTATAGTCTATTTTCTTCGGTACCTCTAAAGAGAACAAAGGAATTGACTTTAAAATGCCTCTCCTAATATACAATTCCTTTTTTTTTATTTGAATTTTCCGGTGACAAACGTTGTCGGGACATTAAACGGAGGTGATTTTGGACATAACCGAATTTTATAAATAATCAGTTGTTGGAGTGTGAAACATGAAGTTTTCCTGTCTCACAGGAATTTCTTGCTTCAAATATGAAGGAACGAAGATGAACCATGAGGAAACCTAGCTAGCTAGCTCTATTCTTCTCTTATCAATGAAAACTAGCTCCAAATCTTAACATAACACACACGGAAGGGATAAATATAAGAAAAACAAAGAGACGCTGGAAAAGAAAGGACAAGCTCAAATTCTGTTTTTTAAACGTCAAGCTTTTGCTTGCAAAGCTGTTTTATGTTTTATATCATCCCACAAACCATCAAAAGATATCGTTTGGCAGTCAATCTAACATAGGAGATTGTGTTATGTTATCATTAGTCATTTCTAGGTTCATGTTTGAGAAAGCTTGTATTACAGTTACAGTCCATAAATAAATATCAGTACTACATATATATATATATATAGACACATAGAACCAGCCAACCCATGGTTTCTTGGCACAATTAAGGGTTCTCAACGCTATTCATGCCATATAAAACTACAAAATGGAACAAATCTACGGAGTCATG